TTGTAACCATAATATCCATATCTTTGTTTTTGTCTTTTTATGGTGTGGATAGGTGTGGGCAAGCCTGTGCTATACAAGCTTGCATATGCAGAACATATGTATGCTTACTGAGTCAGGTGTATGTTGGCTATTTTCATTTTTTTACTGTGTCCAGTTCCCTCTTCATTGGGTCTTAGGGCTTGCATGTCTTTTTATTGTTTATGTACAGTAAAAACCCAAAAAATATCATAAGGTATAGAAAATTTAGATGGCAGGACTCATACATCAATTAATGGGTAATTTTCTTATTTGTTCAACAGATCCCACAGCTAAAGTTCATCGCAAGCGAATTGGTGGAAATCGAGGTCATGAATATTCTGAAGGGTGCGTCCGTATTTTCTTTTTGGATAATTTAGAATGTTGTGTGTATATTGAAATTTCAATCTCAATATGTGATTTGTGTGATGCGTGTTATTGTTTGTTATAAATATACCATAGAAGCGAGAATTCATACAAAGATACCTAAAAGCCTCCTGCCTGCAGTAGCATAAAAACTCCATGGCCCCATGGACATGAATTACATTTATCATTAAAAAATCGATTGTAGAATCCTCATAGCCTCTACAGAGAATAAAAGAGAACAAAATTGTTAATGAATGTAAGAAAGGGTAATATTCACTCATGTCTTGAGATTGAAATATTGTGTGGTCATAACCAATGCACCAATAAACAAGTTATGACTAACTTTTCCTTGTCCATACTGAATATACCTCGTTTCCACCATTTCAGTATTTTTTGAAACGTGATTTGGCAGCCAAAGTGGCTTTTCTGGGTAGAGCACACACCCCCTCCCTGCAAAAAACAAAACACACACAGATACACAAACCTTTGATGATGTCCATTGAGAAATAAATTTTCCACCTTGTCATCCTGTGACTTCAATACCCGATATGCTGATCCAGGGGCCTATTCTTGGAGAAAGATCTTTGTCTATCTCTCCGGACCTTCTTTCTAACCTAAGGGAACATTTTTACCCATAATTTACCATTGCCTCATACTACTGATGTCAGTAATTTTATTTTGATTAGTTTCATTCTCTCTACAATGCATAACTTTCTGCTCACATAACTTGTTGATGTATTGCTTTTCTGTTGCTTTTGTGATTTAATCTAGAATGATTTGTCTTGCACTTCACTTCATTGAGAATTACAGGCATTAGATATGTTCAGGTTGTTAAAGTGTGGTGCACATGATTTGATGAGAAAATCATAATTCAATGTGCTCCTTATAGGTGGGTCGAGTTTGCTAAAAAAAGTGTTGCAAAGAGGGTTGCCAATATGCTCAATGGGGAACAAATAGGTATGTCAACATGTATCAGTGTATCTTGTTTTTCCATACCTTTGTTACAGTGAAACTTTGAGCAATTGGAACAACGACACTTGAATAACAAATTCTTTTATCTTAAGGACACTTGAATAACATTCACCAGTAGTTTCCATTTCAAACCTTAGTTTATTATTTTCATATTGATTTCCGCTAATTTATTTGCGTGCTTAATCATCTTCATTATTCTTATGCATGAACAATAGGAAGCAGCAGTAGTTCACAAGGGAATATGCTTGGGAGAGTATATAATTTCCAAAAGTTTTAGGGTCAAGAGGCTTGGGGATGTTCATGCTAGTTTCTGTATACATGCACAGGCATGTGTACAGATTTGTATGTCGACATCCACTTCAATTTATGTATACCCCAAGATAATTTGTAGTTTACACTGCTTTACAAGAAAAGAGCTATTATGAGGGGAAAGTCATGTATCTTGCTCCTTCAAATTTCACAAGAAGTTTTGAGAGCAGGGATCTCACCCAAATCCCCTTGTTTCTTTAGTTCCTTGATTTTCTAATTTTAAAAACATAAGGAGAAAGGTGGAGCCACCTCCAATGTTATTGATCTATGGACCAATGTTATCAGATATTCAGATACTCCAAATATGGGACTACCATAGTTTGAAAATTCGGCTGCCCGACCGCCTAGGCGAAAAAAATTTCAAAGCACTTAGGTGCAGTCTGGGCGGGTGCATAAGGCGTTGCGCCCACCTAGGAACCCACGGGTGAGGGTAAAATACGTAATTTTTTCCCTTTAGAAAGGGGGGAAAAGGGTTTTAGGTGGTATTCTAAACCCCCAATATACAATATGTGGCCTTTAGGGTGAGAAAAACCCCTCAAAAACCTCTATTTTGTGATTTATCGAAAGATCAATAAATTTTATATTTTTCTGATTTCTTCCCAAAACGAAGACAATAGTTCGTGGGTGGATGTGAAGCTTCTAATAGTTGATTTTGAAAACTTTTGACGACCCAATAGACTAGGTTTGCACCGACACCGATTTGATTTTGATAGTTTTTAAGTATTATCATATTTGAAAGAGTGTTTTGATTTTATTTTGCTACAATACATTATGATATGAATCATTTTTTTTCTTTTATGATATATTTACATGTTTGTAGTTAAAAGATTGATTTTTTTTGTGATTTATTGATTTTTTTTCTCACTTGGACGATGAAATTGAGCATATATCGTATTCTTTTATTGATTTTTTTCGTCTATTTCATGATCGCAAGGAGTTTGGGGCTTTAAAGTTGCCCTAAAAGCTCCCTAGGGCTATAAACCAGCCCTAAGAACTCCCCTAATTTTTATATTTAGGGTGGGGGGGGGGGGCGGGGGGGGGGGGGTGGTTTTGATATGGTTGAGGGCTCCGTGTCCCTGGGTGCCCACCTAGGCGGCCAGGCACCCAAACCGCCTAGGCGCCCGAATCCGTTTTTTTTAACCTTGGGGATTACTACATATTTCAGTCTAAATGATGTGGATCACTGTCTATTATCAATATGGTTTCATTGCTCCCAAATGAGTCAGCTAATACAATGGAAATGATAGTAAAGGTTCTATCTTGATCTATTTAAGGGTTTGCTTGTGTGCTACTGCAAGCACACTTTGATGCTGTTCGGAAGCGATCGTTTTTGGTTCAGTTGGACATGCGGTCCCTTCGTTTTTCGAGTAAATAGAAACTGGAAATACCAGTTTCCGTCCAATTTGGAAAAAAAGTGTTTTTTGTGGGTGCTTTGACCACTGGTTGACCAAACCATGTATCATGTATCCATACTGGGTTAAATTTTACTTAGTTGCTATTGTTACAGTATTATGTCTGGTTCTTTAGTATTATCATTTCCAGTTATGTTTCTTGAAGGTAATTAATGCCATAGTTAACATTTTGGTCTATGGACACCATGGAAAACTCTTGAGGTGTTTTTGTCCTTGACTTTGATTTTCCAATGGCACTTGTCACAGTGCTCACCTTGTTCTTGACATTTTATTTGGCAATAGGAATGCTATTTTTCCTTTAACTCTCATATGAAAGCCACATATTAGGTGCTTTTTTTGTTTGAATAAGGATAACTTTATTAGGTCTTTTTCATTTATGAGTAGATAAATGTTAGTTTGAGTTATGTATCCTAGATTGAAAATATACTAAATAAAATTTCACTTCTTTTTGGTGAATTCTTTTGCTTGTGAATGATGTAGATGCAGTGACAGATAATCGTGTGGTTCTACAAAGACTTTGCTAGCTTTCAAGTGTCACATATTTTGTTGTACCTGACTGCTGAATTACTTCTTTTACATTTTCCAATCATGTTGTATATCTTTGGATGAAGAAACTGAATGGGGGGTTACTTGAATACTTGTTGAAGTCTTATTTTTTCGTTAATCTCTTATTTTGGGGATATTTCTTTTTTATTATTATCAGGTGGGAAGAGGAGGTCTTCGTTTTATTATGATCTTTGGAACATCAAGTATCTTAGAAAATTTAAGTGGGACAACCTTACGGAGGAAATTGGTATGTCATTTTCTTAATAATATATGTAATATGTTCTTTGACAATGACACTGAAAAAAAAGCTGTGTCAAATGGATTACCAAGAGGTTGAATTGAGTCATTGTCAATGCAGCATACAAAAATGCTGTACGGGAGCAAAAGCTAGGCCTCGAAATATCTGCAGCCAAAAGAGAACGTGATTTTTACCTCTCAAAAGTTGACCAATCTCGTGCTCTTGCTTCCATTAGAGAACGTGAAAAGAAGGTAATTTTCTTATATAATTCTTTCTTATCATTTTAAGGAAACCATCTTATATATTTTCATTAGCAATATTTTTACATGACCACTGAGAATGTCATCATCATAAAAAGGTGTTTGCTAGTGAAATTTGCTTGGAGGTCAAGGGTTTGAAACTTGAATACCTTCACTCTTCCATAAGAAGCTAAAATGATAAAACAGAATATGTTTTTGTGTTAAAAGAATTTAATGCTGCCACTCCTGCTCCCTTTTCCATTGATGCTCCATATATGCTTCTGACAAGGAAGCTGTATGTATTCAGAATGAAGTGATCACTTCTCCCCATGTAAGCTTTGTAAAGTTGTAGGTCATATATTTCCTGTGATATTTCAATCATGGCTGTCCAACTCATTAATCTCCAATTTGTATATATGTCAGAAGCTTTGTGTATTTAGAATGGAGTGGTAATTTCTCCCTCTATAAGCTTTGTAAAGTTGTAGGTCGTACATTTCCTGTGATACATTGGACATGGCTGTCCAACTAATTAATTTCCATTTTATATATCCTTTCATTGATTTTGTCGGATGGCACTCTGAAATTATTTAGTTTGCTTGCGACTGTTATTCTGAGCGAGCATATTTAGAAGCATAAAATTTTAGGGACAGTTTTGAGGTCAACCTTTAATATCATGTGTTTGTGACTGAGAAAGGCTTCTAGGGGTTAGAGAATTGGTGGTGTGTAATTCCCATCCTTGTCAATCAATTTTGGTTTGGGAGCTTTTGATCATTTGCCAGGGATACTTCTTTGGTAGGTAATTACCATTAAAATTTGAACACAACACCGAGCATTGTCTAGTGAATTGGACAACCCATTATGGATGATGTGGACACAAGAAATGTATGTCAGGGCAACATATAAGCTCATGCTTATTATGTTTTCAAGCTTGTCTTTGCGGGATGTCCAAACTTTCCCCAGCACAAGAACGATTAGTAATGTGTTGAAGGGCCAATGACCCATTAGTTTCCATTTCTTTGTTCGAGGTTTAACATGCTTTACTCATGGTAATATTAGCGATAGATGTGTATAGAAAGTGGTTATGTAATAAGTAAGCATATAACCTTTTTTTTTGGGCAGTTACTTGAGCATACAACTTTCAGGAAGTTGACATTTCCGGTGTTTTTCATACTGGAAGTCATTTATACTTGCATGTAAGGAATAAGCATGTAGCAGTTACTTCATTGAAGTGTTGAAATGATTATTTGGAGATATCTGGTGTTTTCATTAATTTTGATTGAATTTGCAGAAGAAGAAGGTTGCAGAACAAGATTCAGATTGCAAGGGGGGTGGTGAAGTTGAGAACCAAGAAGAGGTCAAGGTGGTGCGGAGGTTTCCACAGACGCGCCCAATTGCTGATAATACCAATCGCAAGGAGCCGAGGCTCTCGAAGGAGGTTTTGGCTGGGGTATGTCGATTACACTTTGACACTTAGATCCGACTCTCTCTCTCTCTCTCTCTCTCTCTCTCTCTCTCTCTCTATACATATATATAGGCAGAGCTGAAAACACATACCTAGAGGGGATCTATTTGGGCTGTAACTTTACACATCTTTGATTTGAAAAGAAGCAATTAAAAAAAAAAATCAATTTTGAGTTCTTGAAAGCCTAGATCTACCTTCCACTAAATGGACAGGTTGTGCTTACCGAAAATGGCGGATACTATTTTCCCTTTTTCCATACAAATCTTTTTTTTTTAGTGTTTCTGGGGCATATTAATGGGGATAGAATGGAGCCCCAAACGTCATGTTGTTGCTCGGGCACCCAGGCCAAGGGCCCATTCCTATCCCCAAGATGAGATAACATGTGCAGAAGTAGCTTTTGTAATATTATAAGCATTGGCTTATAATCTTTTCCCATATGTGAATTAGGAAAAGATTGTGTGAGAGAGAGAGAGAGGAAAGAGCGTCTTTCGCTTGTTTCTTCTTTTCTTGTGGCATCGGTAATTAAAAGGAAATTCTATTATGTTTTGTACAGGTTTTTGGAGGGCCCTCTGTTTGATGAGTTGCTCTCATGGAGATGTAGGCAGCTGCCATTTATGGGGATTCCATTCTTTTATTTTTCATTTCTTTTCTTGTTCTGAATATAATGGAGAATCGTCTCTCTCTCTCTCTTTCTAGATTGTTTGATGTGAACCATAGAGGTCAATGGGAAATGCCAATTTTGTATTGCAGAGGCCCATGGGAAAAGCCAATTTTGTACTATAGAGGCCAATGGGAAATTCCAATTTTGTATTATAGACTTTGTGATGGGTGTGGAGCAATAACCCACCACATTCTCACTTCGACAAATACACTCCGTTGTGTGGTTGGGGACCAATGGAAAAATTATAAATATAAGCATCTGGAATTATTGTGCACCTAAACTAGCTAAATTTCATGTAAGCAGGAAGTAAGCAAGCATGCAGGAAGTAAGCAAGTAGCAAGTAAGCAAGCAAGGAAGTATATATATATATATATATGCGAAAATGAATAATGATTTTATCGACTTTTATCACCATCCAAATTTCATTGTACAGTCATAATTGTTCGATAATGTTTTGATTTTCATTTTTATATAAATCAGAATGATTTGAAATTTGGAACATCTATTTATAAAAAATAGGTGAATTTAATAAAAATATATAAAAAATAATTTACAAAATATAAATGGATCAAAATACTTACGAAAACATATAGGGGTATTTTGGTTAATTTATATTTTTTAAATTATTTTTGTTCATATTTTTATTGAGTGCGTCTCATTAAGATGTATATACGTTTCAAAATTCAGATCATTTCGATTCGTAGAAAAAAAATATAAAAATGAAACACTAACGGACAATTGTGATCTGCGATGAACTTTGGACAGTGACGAGCATATGCGAAATCACTGATTATTTTCGCTTATAGGCGTTGGGAAGACTTGTCTTCTATATATATATATAAAGCTACTATAATGAATATTATAAGTTATTAGCTCTCGACTGTCAGATCTTCATTGGGTGGTTCAAAAGTTATATCACTATTTAAATT